ATATCTTTGCAAAATGTAATATTTGCAAAAGTATAATCTCGTTTAAAACATCGACGAGCAATTTAAAAAAGCATATGGAGCGGAAGCATCCGACTGTGCAATCAGAACAGCCTATCGTAAGTTTTCAGAAATATTCCTTATACATACATACTTATATACATATGTATGTACGTATTTGTTTTTATTAAAAAATTCTTTTGCAGAAAAAACGTATATCAATTCAAAATGAACCCGTCATTGGTGTTACGGAAGAACAGCCATCCACCTCTAATGCCATAGTAATAAAAATGACCCAGACAAAAATTTCGAATATGCATCGGCAGTCTTCAAAGCAGGATTTGAACAATAAATTGTTACAGCTATTTACGGTAGATTTACAACCATTTAGTTTAGTGGAAGACAATGGATTCAGGGAGTTTGTAAGATCGTTGAATCCAAACTATGAACTTCCAAGCAGTCGGGTTATTTCAAAAACCATGATTCCTGCGCAGTATGAAAAGTGCAAACGTAAAATGCAGGAAATCATTGAAGGCGGTGATCAATTTTGCATCACAACTGATTGTTGGACGTCTCGCAATGTTTCCAGTTTTATTGCGGTTACAGCACACTTCGTCTCGCAGGAATTCGAGCTTAAGCCCATACTTTTGGCGGCTTCTGAACTTAATCTAAACCACACGGCTGAAAACTTAGCAAATGCAATACAAAAAAGTGTATGTGATTGGAAAATAGAAAGCAAAGTTTTGCTTGCTGTTTCCGATAATGCAAGCAATATAAAAAGTGCCATTATTGCCAAATTGAACTGGAAGCATTTCGGATGTATGGCTCATACAATGAACCTGATTGTGAAAGAAGGGTTACGACTTCCTAAAGTTAACCATATAATTGAGAAGGTTAAAGCAATAGTTCCTTATTTTTAGAAAAGCTCTTCAGCCAATGAAGTCTTTCTCAATTATCAGCGAAACAGTGGTAAGGAGCCACTAAAGCTAATACAGCAGGTTGAAACCCAGTGGAATTCCACGCTTGCGATGATGGAACGGTTTGCCGCATTGGAAGTAGGGATGCAAACATCGAACATCGAGGCTAAAATACATCGCCAGAGGAACATCGATATATCGAGGGTTTCCGATGTTTTGCAATTTGTTAATTTCTAGTTAATTTTAAAGTAATATTGAATACTTTAATAATTATGAATGTATTTTCCTGTATTTTATTATCCTTTCTATACCCTTTCTATTATTAGAATCAAAATGCATTCCGTCGTAAGGTCGTTCGGGCCTAAAGAGCCTAGGCCTGATCTTGTTGAAATTCCAAGGGGTGTTTGGTTCTGTTTTAACGGCTAGGTTATTAGCATTCAGAATGAATCCAACAATTTTATTGAGCTTGGGGCCGTTTTTTATGAAAAATGTTGTGGAAAAGCAACAATAATTTACAAAGTTAAGAAGGTATAGCTGCTATTTGGGAGATCACCGCATCTACTAATCAGACTTCTTCAACCGCGGTCACTAAAGAGATGTGGTGGTCTCCGAAATAGCAGCTATAACTTCTACCTTTTGTAAATTATTGTTGATTTTCAATAACATTTTTCAAGCTCAATAAAATTGTTGAATATAATTGTTATAAGGCCATAAATAACAAAAAAAAATTCTGAATGAATAGCAAATTAGGGGTCAGTCAAACATACCGAAAAAAGTCGGAGAGTCTCCTTAAAGTCGATCTTTAAAACATCGGTAAAACTTCCATCGATGTATCGTAAATTTCGCGATGCTAATAAATTGTAAACATCGAAGGCAAACATCGAAAATTGAACCGATATTGAACCCTAATTGGAAGAAGCAATAAAATGCACGCTGGTTATTATAAATAAAACGATTCCTACTTTATCCACCGAAGAATGGCACATTGTAAACGACTTATGTAAAATATGTCAACCTTTCAACGATGCTACAATAAGCATAAGTGGCGAAACTTATTGCACGGGTTCGCTGGTGATTCCCATTTAGGGTTGCCAGATTTTGGAACGGAGAACGGAGTACATTTATATTTTCGATAGAAAAAAAGCAGCACGGGACCCATAGGGCGCCTAGGGTGGGGTTGGAGGTGCCGCCCACTCCCCCTTCGCTTACCGCCTCTTCAATGACCGCCCTTATACGAAAGAATTCCAGACTCTTCCTGAATGTATGGCAATTTTTTTAATTTAAGCCTTATAAATAATTTAATATTTTTCTGATTTTTATATCCGAGCGCCCTGCACCTACCTTGCTACGGCCATGCTTACACTTTTTCACTATCAAACTTAACTTTGCTTACTAAGTAGTGTTTGCCACAATTTGAATGGCAAAGTACAGGGCGTAAAATAATAACTGTCGCACAGGTTTTTTGAAAAATAAAAGGGGTTTAAGTACATGCGGCACACACCTCCTTTTTAGGTGTATTTTTTCTTAGATTTTGTATAAAGAAAACAAATGTATAGGGTTGGTCGAATGAATTCCCTCCTAGTATGAGGAAATTAGCCGATGGTTACAGAAGATATGTAATAAAGTAACCGACGAAGACTTGCGTGCCGCTTGCGCTTTTCTCCCAAACCCCCTGGTAAACCCAAATGAAGGTTAAATTTAAAAACTATACAATAACGACTTTTTTTACTTGCACTTTTCTCTCAAATACCGGTAAACGTTAAAATTTAAAAACAAATTAATTAAATTGAAGTAAAATCTGTGGATAATTAACAATGAACTACTTTTTGCGCAAAATCTATAAAGGCCAATTTTATTTAAAAAAAACTGTGCAACAGTTATTATTTTACACCCTGTATATAATAAAATATTAATAGATGGAAAAAGGAGTTCAAAAGAAGTACAAAACTAATAAAGGAGTACATTTCCAGATAATCAACACTTTTTCTTTAGCTACCTTTCTGGATCCCAGATTTAAATTATTGCCCTTACGCATGAATATGCAGCACAAAATACAAAAAAAAATGGTAAAATGTTACCTTATGGAATTGCAAAGGGAAGAACCAGAGATGCTGTTTGAAAGTTCAGAAGAAGCCGCAGTGCACGCATTTTCCATTTGGAGCTCTTTCGATCAATGAGCTAACCAAAATAAACCAAAAGGCAGTGCTGAAGCTAAAAGCATTATCGAAATTCAGCGCTATTTAGAAGATGGTATAATTCACAGGTCAAATAACCCATTTCTGTGGTGGTGCGAAAATAAATATAAGTATCCTAAATTAGCTGGACTGGCAAAAAAATATTTGTGTGCACTAGCTTCCTCAGTTCCCTGTGAAAGAATTTTTTCTAAAGCAGGTCAAATTGTCAGTGACCGGCGTTCACGATTGAGTGAAAAAAACACTGAGATGCTATTATTTTTAAATACAAACGAAAAATATCTGTGGAAAGGTATACCATTTGTTACTTAACTTACTACTTTTTAAGTTTTATGTTTTTTAATGAATATACTCCTAATTTTAAGTTTTAGTTGACTGAATAGACACACTAAATTTTGCATTTGGTTTTACGCCTTTGCATTATTTTTAACGACGATATATGATAAGGAATTAAAAAACATCAAAAATTTATATTCAATTTCAAACACTTGAATATGTAAATTTTATTTTTGTTATTTTAATTTGTTTAACATATTAGCTTTTGTACCTGTTTGTAAATATGAAATAGTCATGAATTGAAGCCTGAACCTTTACAATAAAATTCAATATTTCTTAAGCTGCTCACCCAAAACCAGCTTTTTAATTTTTACAATTTTGGTTACTGATTATGAATGGTGTTATTGTAAGAGCGGAAAACTCATATGTGAATGTATTTAAATAATATGATACACAAGAAATCGAAGAGAAATTTACTTCTATCAAAATTTCTTTAAATCAGTAAGCAGCTATCAAGAAAAAAGTGCTCGTATATTTATTTCTTGAATAAAATTTACAGCAACAGAAATAAAGAAAAATACTTCTTGCATTTTTCTTAAGAACTGCAGACAGTCCCGTACACTTCTACAAATATCTTAAAGAATAATTAAAACCCAGCAACTGCTCTTAGAATATTACCAAGTTTATGTAAATTTTTAAAATTAATAACTGAAATTGGAAAAATTAAATGTTGATTTTGGATGACCTACTTGAGAAATTTCGAATCTCTTGAATTCAATAAAACTCATTTATCATTTTATTTTACTGCATATAAGGCGAGTGCACCCTTGAGGGCAGTTTGAACTAGCTCCTATGGTGTGAGTTTAGTGTTGTCCTAAAGTTTACATCGGCACTGGGCGGTTGAATTCAATAGCAATGAAACGCTCCATTTTATAATAGTTCACTGTTATTGAATATGTATATTTCGTCGTAGGTTTGTTCGTAAGTACCCAACCAAATTTTTTTTTCGAATATTCCATAGTTTAATTGATTTAGTGCAGTAGTGCATCACCCAGCAAAAAACATGTAGTACCGCACAAGTTTATAGGTAAGCCCCTCACAACGTCCACAATATCCTAAAATAGAAAGTCAATAACTGCTATTTGCATTTGATAATTACTCACCATGAATGGCACTTCCATTGCGGACATTCCTCCACGAACTTCTGCCGCATGGTGATGATCACGGAATCGTATAAATACACTGTACCCAAGCAGATGCTATTTCGCCGATTCCAAACAGACATAATAGTTGCGTTCCAGATGCTTCACGATTCGCAGGTTTTTACAGGAAGCTGTTCCAGGTGGCCACCTTCCATACGGTTTTTAATGGCGAAAACAGCTTTTCCTGCAAATCGGGAAGCATCTGGAACGCAGCTAATAGATTGTGCAATTTCGCCATCAAACTCCTTTGACTCCAACTTTATTTTTCTAATTTTGTGGGAACGTTTACGAGTATATTCCAATTGTGGCAATGTGCTTCCTGCATCTTTTAATGTGATTGTTGAACATGAACAGTGAAAACAAAAGACAAATGTAGTGTTGCCAAATTGATCAATAAAGCACTAAGTTCACTCGGTCAAATTTTTCTGGTCTGCAATACTTTTGTCACTGTTTTTGTCACAGTCACGGCTGAAAATCACTGTGACTGCAAAGTCACAGTCACAAATAACGTTGTTCCTCAAAAGTCACGAGATCGCCCATCTCTAGTGACCGGACTTGTACTTCACGATTTCATAAAACGATGCCGAATTCATGGTTAACTTTCGTGTATAATTGAATTCATGAAATGGTGTTTATTAAAGAACTGCAAAATTCAAAATTTTTTGTAAAAATGTGGTTTTCAAAAATATCATGCATAGCTATGTCATGTCAACTCAAACAATGAGGGAAACTTCGCGAGAGTGCATCACGCTTTGAACAAAATGACTGAAAACCAGAAGGCGAGGAAACTCGTAGTTTACGAGAAATTCGTTGTTAAAGTTGAAAATTTCAGCTAACAAAATGTACGATAACAGACCATTTCCAACAAATACAAGTGTGCAGAAAACACACCTTCCAACTAAATTTGGCTCTTTGAACGTTTATCTATTTTATATTTTATTAATTTCATTCTTTAACGATCAGGAACACGTTTATAAATTTGTTTACTTTCCTTTAGAGAACCGAATCAGTATGTAAGTGTGTAGGTATGGACAATGACCGAAACGAAGATGGCCGCACATGTGAGTAACGTGTTGCCAGATGTTCAAAGCGTAAGAATATTATAAGGGCGAATATAATAAGTTGTATTATTTTATAAGTTTAATAGCAATTATTAGTATTATGTGTGCAGCGTAAGAATATTATAAAGGCGAATAGGAATAAGTAAAGAATACCAACCGTTCCGCTAGAAAAAAACTAAAAATAGGAGTCAAAAAATAGGAGTTGCGTCCACTGTATTTTTGCGTAGAACTCCTTTCTGCGTAGGCGGCCTTCGGCCGCGCTTTAGGATTATAACCCTTACCAAATATAATTCTCCTTTTGGTGTGCACCAACTGAGGCTACCGCCCCAGTGACGTAGCCTTGGGAAAGGATGAGGTAACTAGAATTCCCTTTCTGTGTGGTAAAAATGCGTGAAATGCATCACAAGAACGTGCGAAAAGCGAAGGTGTTTTGCAAATAACTAAATGTCTTATACAAATTCACAAAGTAGAATTCTCTTTCTGTGGTGCGAAGAAAAGAAGCAGAAGGATTATAACCCTCACAAAGTAGAATCCTCTTTCTGTGTTGTGAAGAAGAGGAGCAGAAGTACTTTGAGCAGAACTTCTCAACAATAAAGGTGACTATAATTATGATGTATATTTAAATCACACAATCAATAACTATTATCATTTTACTGAAAAATTACATTATCTTCACACACAATACTCATAACAGCTATCACTACAGTTGTGTCACTACTATGGACGTCGAAGATAACGTGTACCATACATTCTTCACCTGCGAACACTTCTTGATTTCGCGCAGAATGTTGGGAAAAGATACGGAGACATAACTCCGAACAACATAATTGGGGTAATGATCTACAGTGCAGACAAGTGGGAAGCAGTTGCGAGTTACGTGAAATTCGTACTCCGCTGCAAACGAGAGGACGGATATCTACTGAGGACACCCGAATGAGACGCCCCTACAAAAGAGCAGCCCCGAGGCTCTTGCATCGCGCTCCTGCATCTGAATTGCAGAATTAATGTGAATCCATGCAGAATTGCGGTGCCAAATGCGGGATTCTAATGGGTAGCCCAACACGCTTCGGTGGGAGTCCCACACTCGGGGAAGGTAGTTTAGAGACTAGCGCCCCCGGCCAGTGCATAAAGCATTTCCCTCTCTTACGAACAAAAAAAAAAACAGCTATTAAACTCATAATAAAATAGCACTTATCATATTTGCCTTTATAATATTCTTACGCTTTTAACATGTGGCAACACATTTCGAAACGTATTCTGGCAACACGTTACTCACACGTGCGGCCATCTTCGTTTCGGTCATTGTCTATACATACATTCGTACATAGTAGTTGCGATCCCGTACGAGTCCGGACTAGTCAGAAATAGTCAGAATCAGTCAGATTTTACTGGAAATCGATACCGTACTCAGATCTCTGACTATTGAGAGGACAAAAAATAGAGTAAATACCAATGCTCTACCAATGACCCAATAGGAAATTTTAACACTGACCTCGAAAACACAACCAACTTAAATTATTCGGAGAGCAACTACCGAAGCAACCAGTAAACAAAGCATAAAGTACACAACATGAAACACTTCTTCGAACACATTAGATTAAATATGACGAGGTTACTTGCTACACCATAAAACAGTTCAACAAAAACTATAAAAAATTTGCCAAACAAGAACAAAGACTGAAATTTCTACTAAACTGTAAGAATTTTGTAACAACACCACCACATTTAACGGGCAAACTTAAGAGAATAAAACATGGGTTCCAATTGGACATCACGAAAAAAGAGTTGGACAAAGTTGAAGAACAGTTTATACTGAAAATTTTGAATTTGGAAATAAAAAAGCCAACGTCCAAATAAAACTAGCCGAAAAAATATAGAACACATCAAAACAGATCTACATACGAAGCTTGAGGAGTCCGATTTCATGCTAGTCACAGAAAAACAGAACCAATTTTCAACAAATATAGCACGTCACACCGAAAACAGTCTCAATGAGAAATTACAAAGACAAGTAGAAAAGAATTTTAGAACATACGGGTTTGTGATCAATGAAGATTGGTTTATAAATAAAACCAACATCCCAATTCCAAGAGAATCTCGATGGCTTCTTTCCTTAGGAAAAAAGTTTGCGCTGTCTATGACACGGAAAAATTTCTCGCCGGTTCACCTGATTGCGTAATTAGAGCAGGGAATTCAGACCTTAGAGGAAGACAGGGAAAAATACACTGCAAGATGTAATATAGCCACTAGCATTAACACATTCAAAAACAAATTTAAAAGTAATAAAAAAGAAAAATTCATACTTAGAATATTTGAGGACACTAAACAGTTTATAAAACAACATAAGGACTCTATAGTAATTACAAATGCGGATAAGGGAAATAAAACGGTGATGACGGACAAAACAGAATACAAAGACAAAATGAAAGATATATTTAACGACAGATCTGTGTACAAAACGAACCGAATGGACCCAACACAAAAATTGCTGAGAAGAAACAACGCGATAGTAAATGACATATACAAACAGAAAAACATTGACAATTATCAAAAGCACCTAGACTATATGGACTTCCGAAAATACACCCCTCAGACCGATATCTGCTTCAACCAATGTACCCTGCTACCGCCCTTCAAAGTTCGTTGGACAAACTCTTAAAAAAATAGTCTCAGACCAATACAATATCCACAACTCGTTTCAGCTAAAAAAAATTAAGAACCATGACGCTTGAAGAAGATGAGGTCCTCATTTCCTTTGATGTGGTATCATTATTTACCAATATACCGGTGCAAATANCTTAAAAACACAAATCTTCAACAAGACCAATTTGACTGGACAA